CTGCTGGAAACAGGCATGACTTGGTCATGTCATCCGGTGGGGGCACGGCAGTTGAAAATGAGCAGTAGTGCGGTTCAGTTCACTCTTTGCAGTGTGTTTTGGCTGCCCTCGTTGTGTGTCCGGCTGTCTCTATTGTCTCTGAATCCGATTGTTTGAGTGGTCTCTCGGAACCTTCTCCGGGAACGAGGCTCTTTGTTGGCATTTGAATGCATCTTGCTGTGAAATCTGACGCTGCTGCCCTTTGTCTCGCTGTCTTCGCCGCCTCGCCGAGAGGCTCAAAGACATTCGAGGGCTCAGAGACACTGGAAATGTAATTCGATCCGATTCTCACTGCCGACTCTCTGGGCCGAAGGTTCAAGACACCCAATGGGTCCGCCAAATTTGCCCACTTGGAAACTCCACACATTCCAAGACAAGCTCCATGCATTCCAACCCAGCCTCTCTCTTCCTCTCCAACATCTCCCCAGACGCCAATCAGGTCCCGTCTCAAGCGACTCTGCCTTCACAAAACGCTTTCGGCCCCAAATAAGACGCGCGCCGACGGCTGACCGAAGACTGACTGACGGTCGAATGCAACACTCCCTGATGCACAGTAGAGCCTCAGTCTGCCCAGCTTGCCGCGGCACTTCTGTCATTCGTCCATCGCCCATCTCGGCCTTCAGCTCTGTGTCGCCTGTCTAGTGCCATCTCTCTCGGCCGTCCTGCGTCTCCGCCGCCCGAATCCTCCGCACCGCATACCCGCCCCGGACATCTCCCAGTTTTGACAACTCAAGGGTTCCCCGCACCTGCATCCCCCTCCAAAGCCTAGCCGAGGGGACGGGTTGGTGGTGGGTTGCAGCGCAGCACGTTTGACGTCTCCCGATGACGCCCGTCTTGCTTTTCGCTTTGCAAGCTTCCAGCGTCTCTGACTTCCAGCGTTCGACTTCAGTGCGGCGATGTTAAGCCCAGCCCAGCATGAGAAAGCCTACCGCGGCAAATCAGAACGTTGCCGCCGGTCCCAGACTTTCAAGGCGGCACGAAAGGCGATGCTAGAATCGCCGCTTCAAGCATTTTAAACGCCTGCTAGTCCATTGGCCAGAACACACCACCACCTCGACGGTCCAGTTTCATCGGCAATTGATTCCGTCCCCCAAATTGCCCGAGAACCAGCCCAGAAGAGACCGCCCGGTGGCCTTAACCCTTCCCTAGCACGTGTTGACCCAAGATCCAGTGCACTATCCGAAGAACTGCCCGCTTGTGCGCCGCCCTTACTGCTACCATGTGTTCATTAGCAAGGCCGCCGGTATTATGTGCTTATGTGATGCGATGCCGCCGGAGAAACGACGGACTGGCGCTGCCATTGTCCTCATCGAAGTTTCCGAAACAAGATCAGCGTAAACGCATAAGCAGATGCGGCTCGCAGCTCAAGCCAAGCCCCTTCGAGCGCCCACGAAGCACCAAAGCTTCCTTCGCTCGCACTCGCGATCCAAGATTCATCGTCCGTTCCTCTGATCCATTCCATCTCGCCTTTTCGTCCCATCACGTAGCCCGTAAACCCATAAGGCCGGCCTCCAGGGACCAACCCTCATGCCTCTCACCCAAACAGCACCCATTTTGCATCTGCCGAAGCCCCACGGCCAGCAAACCAGCGCACCTCCCAAAACCAACAAGCCTGCAGTGTGCCAGTGTCACCTACGTGGCGTATCAGCTCGCTGAGCCAAAATCTTCGGCAGATGCGAGAATGGCGGCCGCCAAGGGCGTGTGCGCCCCTCCTCCCCGACTGTGGAAGGGTCTCGGTGCGCCCCCTGGCCTTGTTCGTGTTGCTTCTGCCCTTTGCCGTGTTGCGCGCCTCCGTCCGTTTACTGCCGCCGCCCGACCGACCGTACCACCCCTATGACACGAACAGGTGGGATCGATCGGAGGGCCACGTGGGAGTTGCTACACGCCTGCCGTTTCCGTGCTGATGTAGCGTGCGAAGATCGCGGCGCCGTCGACCGAGACCATCATCCTGATGCCATCGACGGCGGCCGTTTTGCAGCTTTTTTTTTTTTTTTTTTGCTTCTTCTGCCGTCGCGCCCGTCGCGGCGGGTTTGTAATCAGGTTAGCTTGAAGCATGATTCATGTTGGACCGTCGCTGCAACCGCAGGGAGTCACGGTTTGATGACAATAGACGTCGAAACACCAACGCCGAGTCATCGCCGCCGGCGAGCGAGCGAAACCCTGTGCGCAGAGATGACTGTGTTTGATATTTCCGGGTCGGCAGAACGGATCAAGTGTTTGCACTGCGGATTCGATGATTGCGCGCATGGCGCAGACTGGGTATCATTTAAACCACACGCTTCTAAGCTAATATCGTAATCATTGAACGCCTCAGGTGGCTGCGAACGCTGGCAGCGGCGTGCCCTTGTTGGCAGCGTTTGTCCTGGCGGCTTGCTTCAGCACCTCCACTCTGTCCCTCACGTCGTCGATGCTGCGGTCCAACTCCCACGCCAGGAACTGTGGTTGAACCTTTGGGTTGTTGAGCAGTATTTTGAGCAGGTGCCTGTCAGCCTCGAACGACCACGAGTCGTCATCGTCCCCCGCCTGCTGAGATGTACCTTGTGGTGTTGTTGCCGGTTGCAGCCCCTGATTTTGCCGTGCCGTCGAAGTCTGCTGCGCTGCTTGAGTCTCCTGTGCGGCAGTTGCGCGATGCGCGAATCGTTCCGCAATTTGCCGGTCAACCAGTTCTCGCTGCCAACGTCGCCTCTCCTCCTCCTGAACACGCTGTCGCTCTTGCGCCTCCAAGGCCCGCCGTACTCTCTCCTCATGAGCTCGCTTGCGCCAGGGGGCCGCAGTCAGCTCCGCGTCCAGGTTCTTGAATTCCACCTTCAGGTCAACCAGGTATCTGGAGAGCTTTTCCCGGCTCTTCCTCTGCGTTCCGGTCTGGTCTCGCGGCCTCTTTGCGAGACTATCCATCATTGTCACATACAGCCGATGGATCCATGCCAACAGCCGCTGCATAATCTGGAGAGTCGACTTCGTAAAAGTCCCAAGCCATTGCTGTTTGCCGGCCACGCCTCTCTGGAAGACGCTGTTGAGTGTTGCTATAAGCACCGGTATCATCTTTTCGTATAGGTCTTTCGTGAGTGGCTTTGGGGGCATGAGCTCTTCGAACCCGTTGGATGTCTTCTTGGCCCGCTCGACAGTCATGCTCACGAAGCTGTCAATCCTCTTGATGGCTTTTTTGGCCCGAGACGCTAGATCGTCGTTGTGCAAATAGTCGCACTGTTCGTCAAAGTAGGGAGCCCGTGGCATGCTAGACCAGAAGCTCTTCAAAAAGACAAAATCATCCCAGAACTCGCGGCTCACTTTCGACTTGGGCAGAGACCCTGCGACATGTGGATTGATCCCTCTAGCCCAACCAGATCCGCTCATCAGCTCAGTCATGTACTTGAGGGTGTGAGTTTTGTAAGGTGCTGATGCCGTCTTCTCGTCGCCCGCAGGCATGGCGAAAATATAGTGGTCGTCGGGGTATGTGAAGTCGGTGGGTTCAGCGTCGGGGGCGGCTGGGCCCAGGTCCACGACGATATCTCTGAGTTTCTGGATAGACGGGGAAGGCTGTTCTTCTGCTTCTTCAGGGGTCTCTTCTGAAATTTCCTCCTCGTGTCCGTTTCCCACCCTCGTGGGCTCCTCGTACAGATCCGCATCACTGGCCTCTTCCTGCGGCACAAAGAGCTCGTCCTCGGGGTTCGATCGCGTTTCTTCAGACTCGTCCTGAGACGCGCGGGGCCTCGGCTGGCTGCCTCGTGGCGGACTCACGGGCACATCGTAAATGTCCTCTTGGTGCTGAAGCTCTGGTTCGGGGCTCTCTTCTTGCCGCGGTGGAACACGCCGCTTCTCCAATGCAAACGACCTCCTCGACACCCGCTTCGTCGTCTGGTTCGTCTCGGAGGCACGCTGCTTCCTACGATGCGTATCCTCTGCGACTTTCCGAAGGGTGTGTACCCTCAGATTCGAGCCAGCACGTCTTCGAGTGGAATTGTTCTCCTGCAGGGCATGTGAGCGGCGATCGCACCTCTGGACATGATTTGGCATACTCTTGTGGCAGTGTCTTCGCCTCCCGCCTCATCCTGGTCTTCGGACTCCTGCTCAACATTCTCTTGGCTCTTCCTCGGTCTCTTAGGTTTCGGCAGTTCGCCCATTTCGACGTCGTCCTGCCTCAATCGCCTACTGCGACGCGCTCCGGCGTCGGGGCTTGTCACCTGGGCGGGGCCGGTGCTTGCATCATCGGGTTTGGCAGTTCGTGTTCTTGCCATTGTGTCACTTTGTCGGCTAGGTGCATGACAATAGCAGTCGGGATCGTCAAAGCATTCCGATTGCGGGGTTGTCGTTCGAGACGCGGTAGCTGGATCGTGAACGCGTCGGACAGCTCAAGCTAGACGTGAATCTAATTGGACAGACGATTGATGGGTGGGCCTATCCCGCTTAGTCAGGCAGCAGCAGCCACAACCCAATGGCAAGATCACGGATGATAATGTTCAGCCACATTCTCTCTTACATGCCTCTAGCCACATCGTATTGAAGACCACCATCAGCAGCTAGAACTTCATCGAGTCACGAAGCTTTAAGCTTACACATCGAATTGACTTTGCGATCGACTGGAGATTCCCGGACAGCTGCAGCACACACCAAACTCGGCCATGCGAAACCGACAACGTCTCTAAATACGGATTCTCGATTAATTACGTCTATGCTTAGGTTCTTCAACCCAACCCTCGGTCGGTCTGAGCGCCGTCTATGGCACCCTCTATTAAGAGACGTCGGGATATTTACTTTGCGGTCTGGCCGAACTCGGTTGTAGGAGTTGGAGCTCGGCAAAAGCGAGTCGAAAAGCACAATGCCCTCCCCACCCTCGCGGGCATCTATTATATCCAGGAACGCGCGGCCGAGAGTTCTGAGGGTGTTCTGTCACATCCGCACGTGTCCGAGTGCGAGCGCGAGAGTCGCAGCAGACTTTGCTCGCGATGGGCTCGTATCTCTGTCTACTTTAGTTTATCGTTGACAAACTGCTTGATTTGGTCGCCGTAGATGTTTGGATACTGGAGGTGCGCTACTGGGTCGTTGCCGTTGCAGCAAAAGGGGTCGGCCGAGTCGCAGAAGGACTTGATGTTATTCCCAAACGGGCATTGGAAGCCTTGGGGTCGGGGAGCAAACTGGTCATGTTAGTCGGTGAAGTGTGACAGATTCGAGCCACTCACTCCTTTCGTTTGGCAGGTGCCCACTTCATAGGGCAGCCCGGCAACGTATCGCGGGTCTCCCATAAAGATAGCAACCTTGACTGCCCCCAACGCTTGCTGCGAGATGAGCACGTTGGTGTTCTTGACTCCTTCAATGCTATCACCGCCGCCGCAGTATGCGTTGTCCATGATTTGGGCACCCTGGTTTTTGTTAACTTCTGTGTTGTACTCGCCGAAAGAGCACTCACCTGCGAGAACCCCAACATGACAATCTTCGTCTGGGGACACCGCTTGTTGAAATCATTGATAGCCGTGGCTACAGAGTCTGTGCCGTTCTTGACCGAGTCGGCGTAGCTCACACCCAAGCAGTCCGTACCACCGCCGCAAGCAGGGTAGTTGATGGCCTCGTTCGTGGCTCCCTGGTTGGCCTTTGTGAGGTCGTCGACAATCTTGGCTGCCGCCCCGAACCCCGGGGGTGCAGTCGTCTCCCGCGCTCCAAAGATGTGAATGGGCGGGCAGTCGTTGCCCTGTCTTTTCTGCAGAGAGTGAGGCGTGGCCAAGGCTTGGCCGACGAGTAGAGCGAGTCCCACGCTGAACCACATATTGGACGGCAACGGCTATCGAAAAGAGCTTCTGAAGGAGTGACGTGAGAACGATCAGACATTAAGACCACCGGGGTACCTGTTGGCATATATAACTTTTTTCAAAGGAAGCTCTCGACAACGACAATAGCGGCAATGGCGCCAAATGCAAAACCCGCCTCACTTTCGGAAGCTTGCAGCTGAGCTTTCTCGTGATGGTTGTGTGGTCGATAGTTGAGAAGGCATCCGTCAACTGCCTTGGCAAAAGACTGAACTGACGGATGAACCGATTACTCCGGCACGGCGAGCACAGCTCTCAACAGACCGCGAAAAGCACCATCCATACCACGCACACTCTCACGGCAAAGGCGGCTGCGCGTTCCCTGCTTTCCCATCGTCCTCCCGCCCAGGGCCCGAGACGGGACGAAACGGATGCGGTCGCCACCAGTATGCGCTCCGACAGCTTATGACGGTATGACGCTCTAGCTCCGGGAGGCTGAAAGGACGGGAACGGGACACGTCGCACCATTCAGACGAAAGGCTGTGTCTGCTTGGCTGAGTTGGAGCCGCATAATGCAAGGCCAGGAGACATGTTTCTGAGAACCATACTGAAGATGAAATATCAGACAACGAGACCAAGCAGCAAGCGAGATAAGAGCTTCCACTGGTCGTCCGAAACGAGGTGGAGTTGTTGATTGGTCTGGAACATGTGGTTGTTTGACATGGAGGTCCATGTCCGCAGAGTCAGTGCTGCGGTGAGTGGTTGAGCTTCCCACGGAGATACGCCTCGGACTTCGCAACTGACTGCGTTGATGCCAGTAGATCTCGCATCGAAGGCTCTCAAGAAGCTTACCAGAGAGGTTTAGCCTCGATAGTCGTCTGGTTCTCATCAGACCATCGCGTTTGGAGCTAGGCTGAGCCCGCCTTGCGGCAAGTCGGGAGGACAAAACCAGTTGAAAAACTTGTATAATTTCAATTCAAAATTAAATTCGTCGCCTCGGGCGGTTGCGAGGCTTTGGAATTGCAGATGCGAATGACGTCCAGCAAATCGTATTCGCTGCCGGCTACGGCGGACGGCGCGGAATCGAGATTCATCCAAGGGGTAGGACGACAGCGCCAGTCGTGCCGAAGCCCAGGGAAGAAAGCAGCTCGTCAAGAGGTTGCCAATGGATTCAAGGCAGGTGAGACTTCTCACCTCCAGAGTCAATCGGGGAGGCATGTGAAGCTGCCGATGGGAAAGTTGCAAAGCAGGTTTCCGACGTGACTCAAGATAGAATCCGGGAAGTGAATCACTCGAAACATTTCCGGTGCAGAGGCCAACCCGTTGCTTGTGCATCTCGTCAAAGAAACAATGCGGTGTTGGTGTGTTGAACGTGCTGAGAACGGGTGGTCGTGGTGTTCTTGAAGTTGCTTGGAGAGGTGTGGCTTGTGGCTTGCTCTCGTACCATCTTCATGGCCGCTGACTAAGCAGACATTGTCGTCACACCCCTCCATTGAAGCTCCAGAAGCTCTCAAGATTCAGTCGTCCTAAACCTCATCCAGCGTCTTCAGGCCAGCTTCGCCCAAGCTGGAAACGAGACAGCCACTATGGAGCCTCCAGCATCAGTATCAGCGCCGACAGCGCAACCCTTGACCTTTCCTACCATCAAGCCTCTGCCAAAGACGACCCCTCACACCTTCCAAACCCCCACCAAACGCATCAACACCGGTACCGACCTCGCGACATTCCTCACCACAACCGCGTACCGCGACATCCTCCTTTTTGTCCTCCAGCTAAACCGATCCCTCTGCCCGCGCCGCTCTCCCTCGGGCGGCCCCGCGACAACCTACCCCCTCACCTCTCTCCCGCCGCCCACGAGCGACCGCCTCCCGGCCCCGATCAAGGCCCTCCAGAACCTCCTCTCCGCCGCCGAGGCCCTGATCGAGCTCGCACCCCCGGATCCTGGACCCCGCCGCTTCGGCAACGTCTCCTTCCGCAAGTGGCACGAGCTCCTCGCCGAGCGCGCACCGGCCCTCCTCTCCGAGCACATCCCGTCTGCCGTCCTCTCCTTCCCGACGACACCAGCCTCCGAACCGCCCTCATCCGAGCTTCTCTCCTACCTCCTCGGCTCCTTCGGGTCGTCGCAGAGGCTGGACTACGGCACGGGCCACGAGCTCGCCTTCCTCGCCTTCTTGGGCTCCCTCTACAAGCTGGGCTTCTTCGGCGATGGCACCGAGGCCGACCCCGCCGCGACGGACCGCGCCATCGTCCTCGGCGTAATCGAGCCCTACCTCCGCGTCGTGCGCAAGCTCATCCTCACGTACACCCTCGAGCCCGCAGGCTCTCACGGCGTTTGGGGCCTGGACGACCACTCTTTCCTCCCCTACATCTTCGGCTCAGCACAGCTCACGACCCCGATAACCCAAGGCTCCGCGGAGCCGATGCCGATGGAGGGGTCCGTCCGTGGGGCGCCCAAGACGGGAGACATTGTAAAGGCGGCCGTCGTCGAGGAGCAGAGGACAGAGAACATGTACTTTTCCGCCGTGGGCTTCATCAACGACGTCAAGAAGGGCCCGTTCTGGGAGCACAGCCCCATCTTGTTCGACGTCTCTGGCGTCCAAGCTGGCTGGGGCAAGATCAACAAGGTAAGGGTTTCATCTGCGGTGCCAACGAGTAGTAATTGACACGACATAGGGCATGCTGAAGATGTTCAACGCGGAGGTCCTGCAAAAGTTCCCCGTCGTCCAGCACTTCACCTTCGGCTCCCTCTTCTCCTGGGACCAGGACCCCGATGCCGCTCCCGTCGCCCCGTCCGTACACGCTGCGAACCAGCCGTCGTACAACTACCCGGCAACGACAGCCCCGCCGCCGCCGCAGGGAGCAGGTACAGCGGCACCGTGGGCGGCAGGCCGCGGGCAGATGATGCCGCCGAGAGTACCGCCTGGTGGTATGCCGTACACGAGACAACCGCCGGCGGCTACATCGGGTGCGCCACCAGCTCCGGGCATGCTCCCAATGCCCGCTCCCGGTGCGCAGGCGCAGAGCGGCTCGACGGATGCACAGGTCACCTTGACCAAAGCACCGTGGGCCAAGTAGGGAAGCGAAGATCATGATTATGAGACCAGCCTGGCGAGAGATGCCAGAGCAATGAATCAAAGGATATACCCTCAAGAGCCGTATACGGCTGAATGCAAAATCAATTAAATCAAATAAACCTTGCCAGAGTACAACACTCAGCGCTGTCCCATGTCTCCGTCGTCTTGTGGTTGTCGTCGGCCCTGCTCAGTTGTGCCCTCACGAACACTTTGAGCATCACAATTCAAAATGTATAAGCAAAACGCTTTGATTTAACTACTCAATGGGTATCCGGCAATTAAGCAAACAAACAAACTAGCCCGCGGGCCTTCATCGCTCCCTTCAGCTGTTCGCTGCAGATCCTGCATACAATGCGGTGGCGTTTGCCCACCTAGATCCAAGCCGGACCAACATTGGGGACTTCAACCTTCTGTAGGCAGGGTGATCTTCATACCAAGCTTTCTCAGATCCGCCAGACGTAGAGTATGCAGGGGCATGACCAAAATCATAGGTGATAGGATCAAAATCAACTTCAAGTTTATAGGAGATATCGATTGCCAACTAGGCAGGGGGGGCTCCAGAAGCTGGGGCGGGAGCAGCGGCGGGAGCCGGGGCGGGAGTCTCCTTCGTCCCGGTCTCCGTCTTGGCTGGCTCTGCCGTCTCGGGGGCCTCCACTGGGGGCTCCGCAGCCGCGGGAGCAGCAGCAGGAGTCTCAGCAGCAGGGGCGGCAGCCGGGGCCGCGGGAGTCTCCGTCTTCGCGGGCTCGGTGGCAGCCGGTGCAGCGGGTTCAGCAGCCTTGGGGGCTTCAGCGGGAAGCGCAGGTGCAGGTGCAGCAGCTAAAAACGCGTCAGTCTCGGGTATCTGTGCCGGGTGGATCGCCAACACGTGAACGTACCGGCCTCGGGGGCCTTGGCGGGCTCGGTGGTCGCCGGAGCTGCCTCCGGCTTGGCTGCGGGCTCGGGGGCCTTGGCCGGCTCAGAAGGGGGAGCGGCAGCGGCAGCGGGAGCTGCGGGCTCGGCTGCGAGAAACGTCAGTTATTGATCTGGAGACGCGTCTCCTGTCTGAGAAGAATGCAAAGCAATCACGTACTCGCGGGAGCAGCGGGGGGCGCGGCCTCGGTCTTGGTAGGCTGAGTAGCGGTCGAAGTGGTGCCAGTAGGTTGTGTCCCGTTGGTCGGCTGGTTTGTGTTGTTGGTCTTCTTCTTCTTGAAGATCTCCTTGAGCTTGTCCTTGAGGTTGTCAAGGGCACCGAGAGCTGTCATGGACGTGTTAGTGATTTGTCTTGGCATTGTGATTTGAACGGCATGGAGATCGGCCACAGGAGAGGCGTTTCCGAGGTATCTGAGCACGATGCTCTCGCAAGCTCTTGAGACGAGGACGCAACGACGGGGCTACTTACGAACTCCACCCATGATGGCGGTTTTTGAATGACTGTAGTAGAGCTGTCGGTCGTTGGATACGCTTATAATGGTAGCGATAGACTGGCAGTTTGTTGATGCTGGATACTCGGATGATGGCAGCGAGAGTAGACGATAGACGTTGGAAGTAGGGACGACGACGACGATGCCGGGGCCTCGAGTAGAAATAGCCACGCGCCCAGCAGCAGCAGCGGCAGAAAAGGGTCTCTCGTCTCAGCAGAACGGCGGGAAGGAGCTGGGGTCCAATGGTGCGTGCCTCGTTCCCTGCTGAGGCAGTGACAATCAATGGAGAGGGGCCCGTGGCGGCCAACCGTGCAGCTGCCATCCCTACCAGTGACACCGACTACAGCACACTTTGGCCTCCCTAGCGCATCACCAGGTGCGCCCTGACTCCTCCGCAACGGCGGGCGGTGGGCGACATTGGCGACCTCCCCACGCGGTACGTACCCGGGCAGAGCTTAGCACTTGCGATTGCTGCTAAATTGGGATCCAGAAGCACCTCACACGCCAAGGACGACCTTGACTGTGGGAGGCGAAGGCGGCCGGAGG